CGGGCACCGGCACGCGTGCGCCGAGTGCGGCAAGACGTACGCCACGTCGTCGAACCTGAGCCGCCACAAGCAGACGCACCGCAGCCTGGACAGCCAGCTGGCGCGCAAGTGCCCGACGTGCGGCAAGGCGTACGTGTCCATGCCCGCGCTCGCCATGCACGTGCTCACGCACAACCTGCGCCACAAGTGCGGCGTGTGTGGCAAGGCCTTCTCGCGGCCCTGGCTGCTGCAGGGCCACATGCGCTCGCACACCGGCGAGAAGCCTTTCGGCTGCGCGCACTGCGGCAAGGCCTTCGCCGACCGCTCCAACTTGCGTGCGCACATGCAGACGCACTCGGCCTTCAAGCACTACCGCTGCCGCCAGTGCGACAAGAGCTTCGCGCTCAAGTCCTACCTCCACAAGCACTGCGAGGCCGCCTGCGTCAAGGGTGCCGAGCCTCCCCCGCTGCCCCCCGCTGGCCCTGCCAGCTGAGCCTCTCGCCCGGCCGGGGCGCCGGAACTTGCTCTCCACGCGCCCCGGGCCCCCCCACCTGCGCCCGCAGCGCCCTCTCCAACCCCCAGCTGCGTTTCCCTGCCCACGCCCCTCGCGGCGACCCCCATCCTGGCCCGGAAGTTTGTTCTTCAGCCCCCAAACTCACACCTCACTTCTGGAACTGTCTCCCCCAGCGCGCCCTATCCATACCATCCTTTCCTGTCACCTCTTGGACCTTGACTCCACTGTCCGCCTTCAAGGCTCCCAACTCAGGCACCAGGTCCGCAAGTCTCCCAGGTCCCCATTCAGACCTTGCACCGCTCTTTCAGACCTTTCTTCTCAACAAAGTCTCTGACCATTCCTCTCTTGAAGTCCCCAAATCGAAGGCCTAAACCCACCCACGTCTGCCACAATTTCCCCTAATCACATTAACTCAGGCCCGGGAAGAACACAGTCAACCCCAGGCCATGCCCTGGGCCTCTCTGCTGGGTCTCCCTGTGTATTTCCACCTGGGGATCTAGTTTGAGAACCCTCCTTTGGGTCTCAGTCTGTTCCATCCCCTCCATGCCAGGGCCTTAGATCTAGCTATTCACTCACCCCCACCCCTTCCATTTCTCACCTTTAATCTTGGGGGGATCCTCACCACTCATCCCCACTTCCTGCTCTCCCGGGGATCCCCTCCCTCTACAGCTCTCATTCCCTGACTTTACCTAACCTAGAGCGGACCTGAGGGGCAGTTCAGGGCCCTGCCCCCTCATGTAGCCCATGTCCCCAGGACAACCCCTCCCTGGGCTTCAGCCTGGAGTTACCCACTCCCCAGATTCTCTGAGCACTTTCCTCCATCCCCAGGACTACAGGTACCCCTCCTTATTTTCGGAATGGGGGACGCCTGGAACACCTCACCAACGTCCCCAACCTTTGTCCAGCTGGGCCCTTCCAATTATTTATTTGTGTATTTATTTATCTATTTATTTATCTATTTATTATTCTCTTGGCCTCACCCAGGGACAGTCTGACTTCCCCAGCTGGACTGGGGGGGTCAGGGAACCAGGCAAGGAAAGGGACAGCAAAGGCTGCCCCTCCCCTCCACCACACACACACACACTCCTTCTGGTCTCGGGAGAAGCCCCACCCTCATCAGAGCCTGCACTCAATAAGGAAGAGGGCCCCAGAATGAGAGGGGAACCTGCTGACCCTCAACTGGCAGGGAGGGGCGGGGAGGGGGCACCAGGAGATCCTGTCACGGGGCAGGTCCCCGCCCTCCTGAGTCTTCCACTCCTGCCCCAGGGAGCCCGGAGAGAGGAGCCTCCTCGTTTTCTTATTTATTCCTCTTCTCGAGGGACCCCAGGTTCCAGGGACCGACTGAGCCCCGGACCCCTCTGGGGCCCGCTCCCCGGGAGGAGCGCTCTCTCCCGGCCACGTCTATGCAACTCTCCCGGGCAGAGGGCCTAGGGCTGCCAGTCGCCCGCCCGTTGGCTGCCACTACCTCCTCCGCCGCGCTTTTGCATGCCCGCGTGAGGACCGAAGCACACACCTCCACGCGCACGGGCCCTGGCGCCCTCTGCTTTAAGCACACGCCTCTGCCCCCTTCGCTCTGCGCCCAGCTTGCGGGCGAGTCCTGGACTCTCCCACCCCTCCCCCTCTCTAGCCGCAAAAGAGGGTGGAGACTGGCGCGGCCCCAGCTGCAGGGGCCCCTCTCCAGGGCTTCAGAGAGGTGGGCGGAGCTTTGTCCTGCTCCAGGCCCCCCGGGAAGGGAGACTGCGGGGATGGTGGGAGAGAGAGGGGTCGCAGAAGCAATTATGGAGGGTGTTGACCCTGTAAATAGGAACTTCTGACAGCAATAATTTTCCATGCATGCTAAGCCTTTTGGCCATATTTTGTATGAGCGCTTGGCGCTCCCCCTCCCTCCCCCTCCAACTCATCCCCAGACCCTCATCCCTTGCCCACCTTCAGCAGTATTACTTGTAACACAATTCAGGGATATTAAAGGGACTTTGGCCACTTGCCAGCGCCTCCAGACCTTGTGACTGTGGGATGGGGGCGTCTGAGGGAGAGCTGGATTTTCCCATTCCATTCCCCCTCTCTGGAAACTGACCAGCCTGTAGCTGCCACCTGGGGTTCCCTGCGTGTGCAAGTCCCAGGCATTCTCAATCCTAAATATACTTCAAAGAAGGGTTCAAGAGCCACATGAACAACAAGTGAATGAAGCCAGTCCCCGGAGGACATTAGGGACATTAGGGAACGGTGGAGCCTGTGACTAATTGGAAAGAATATGTCTCCCCTCCAACAACTGCAGTTTGAATTGCACCTGACAAACAAAGCAGCGGTGGGCGTGTTTGTGCCTGACAGCCCGTTGATAACCCATTTTCTTCCCCACTTTATCCCCAGATCCACACATGTATATGGTCATGCGTGCAGCAAATGCAAACATATAAAACTGTTGGCTTTGGCTCAGCAGTCAACTAAAACCAGCAAGATGCCCCTAAAGCTTTTGAGCTACCTGTCACCAAAAGTTCAGGAAGCTGTGGAACAACCAGATTCTTGGTGATCTTTCAAGATACAAATCTGTCCTTGCCTTACGGAAAAACTTCACTGAAGCTCAGTAGTAGAGTGCTTGCCTGGTGTGCCTCAGGCCCTGGTTTGAGTCTAGAAACACCAAAAACAAACAGAAAAACAACCTCAGTGGGACCACAATCTCTGGCCACTAGCCCCCAGTCCCAACACAGGCTCACCAAGAAGTTGGGCCCGTGTGCCTTGAGGGGGTGTTTGGCCAATGCTAGGCTGGACCTACACCTCTGCTGGGCCTCCTTGGGGTTCCTCCTTTTCTAGCAGGGTACTCACTTTTTAACCCCTCGCGCTGGGTGCTGCTCCCTGAGAAGGGTGCTAGGTGTTGCCACCAGCAAATGTAGGCCTGGGGCTGGGGCTCAGTGGCAGAGTGTGGTAGAGCGCTTGCCTCGCAGGTGTGAGGCGCTGGGTTCGGTACTTAGCACTGCAAAAATAAATAAATAAATAAAATTAAGGCATGCTGTCCATCTACAACTACAACAAAAGCTAAATAAGAGCAGAATAAATGGTAATGGTATCACATAAAATAATAATAATAACAGCAGATGTGGGGTCTTGAGGGCAGGGAACCTGTTATATTCTTCAGCCCTCCACTCACAGCCCTCTGCATCTGCACACCGTCCTGATCAGCTGTTGCTTCCATTATATCTATTTTAGGGGCAGGGAAGGGAAACCACTCTAGATCAGATCTTATATGCATGTATGAGATCCCTTTGAAGCAGAAAATGTTTAATACAAGGAACTGGCTGCTGACTAAACTGCACTGACCCATGTAACATCCTCAGCTGGACATTCAGAACTCTACATCAGAAGTCCTGTAGCCAGGAGAGCTACTTCCCCTTCCACAATAAGAAACAGAGGGGAGTCTGCAACGCAACTCTGAGTTCAAGGCCACAGCACAGGACACACAGGGTCCGCATCCCTGGTCAGCACCAGAGATGGGGAAGCCCCTGCCACTGGCTGGGTGGCCGTCTCCCATCCCCCACTGTGCTGTGGCTCAATGCTGCAATGCAGCTTCAGAGCTCTGCAGCATCTCCAGGGCCATCCTCAGAGTAGCAAGAGTCAAAAGCAGTAGGAATACGGTCCCTGCCCACTTCTGCCATCCAACTTTCATGGAAGCGTCCGACTGGCAGAAGTTAATTCACTGCTAGTAACCTTGCCGCAAAGCAGCCTGGGAAATGAAGTCAGCTCTCCTCCCAGGCATCTGGAAGGCACCCTACAGGGAGGTGGGAATGGATGCTGGTGCCCCCCAGCAATGTCCAGCCCAGTTTCAGGGATGCAACACCCATTCCATCCCTCTCCCTCCCTGATTAGCAGCCATGCAGTCTGGGGACTGACATCAGCTGAAGAGATGGTCTTGACTGGTCTATGAGTAAGACCATCCCCCATGCGCTCAGAAGGGCATGTGAACCACGTCTGACCAAGGAGATTTCAGAAGAGGATTCTGGAAGCTCATGGAAAACTCTACGGCTGCCTTTCCCCTCCCTCTTTTTGTTACTGGAAGCTGAACACAGAAGCACTTTAGCGCTGAACTGCATCCCCACATCCCCATACCTTTTTCAAGTTTTTGAGACAGGGACTGACTAAATGGCTGAGCCTGGCCTCGAACTTGCGATCCTCCCGCCTCAGCCTCCTGAGATCACCCTCACTGGGATGACTGGTATGTCACGAAGCCTGCTGCTTCCTCTATCTTAAAAGAAAGGTAGTCCAGGGCTGGGATTGTGGCTCAGCGGTAGAGCGCTCGCCTAGCTCAGGCCGGACCCAAGTTCGATCCTCAGCACCATATAAAAATAAAAGGCATTGTGTTGTGTCCATCTACACCTAAAAAATAAATATTTAAAAAAAAAAAAAAGGAAAGGTAGTCCAGTCTCTCTTCCCCTTGAACATGAACAGGGAAGCATGTCTCCTGACCATAAAGGGAACCAGCCTTCGCCCGAAGCCTACACCACAAGTGATACAGCAGGGCCATGGAGAGAGCCTGGGTCCTTGGTGACCTCAGGGAGAAAATGAAGGACCACCCTGAAACTTCACACTCTGTGAGGAGTGGCTTTATTGTTTAACCATTTTGTTTGCTCATCCTAGATGTGGATGCCTATGAAAACTTAAATGCAGTATATAACGTATAATTGTATAATGTATAATGTAATTACCCAAGAGTAAGAATATAGTTATAATATTAGGATATATCCAGGCTTGTGCGTATCATCAGTCATAATAATCAGCTTTCGGTGATGACGTCCAACCTATGTTGATGCCCCTGTGTCGATTTCATCAAAATATTCACAAAACTGAGTGGTTAAGGGGTTCTGTCGGCTGAACGGGGGCCCTGTTACCTGCAGCCCAGGGCAGCTCAGGTGGAGCAGGGATGCTGTCCCCTTTCACGGTCCCCTCAAAGAAGCCGCAATTCTCCTCCAGCGATTCCACCCCTGAGTGGTGCCAGCATCACCCAGACTGAACAATCTCTGAACTCACTTTTCCTGGAGGTGCAGCTTCACCCACCGCCAAGGGGCAGCCTGTCGCCATCAGCTGGTTCACTTTGGCTTCTGTCACTTGCAAAGAAGAGTCTGGACTAACGCCTCAAAACTACTCTGGAAGTGCAGACGTGGAGGTCGCCGAGATCTGTTCGTCATTTAAAATGTTCAGGATGCTTTGCGCTTTCCTAAGACTTGACTTCACATCATCTCTTCTTATATCTCCAAGACCCCTCAGATGAGGTGACATCATGCTGTCCACCTTGCAATCAGGAAACCAAGGCACAAACAGGTGGCTGGCCCGAGATCACGCACCTGAGTTTTAAGCCAGGCAAGGTGCAGAACCAGAGGCGGTGACCCCACGTCACTTGCCCCTTTGCCTCAGTTTTGGCTCCCTGATAGCAAAGTCTGGGTCTTGAGTGCAAGGTGTTTACATGGGGGGACCCCAGAAGGCAGAAATGAGGGGCAAGAAGAATAGGGCAGAGGGTGTGTTAGTGAGGCCACTGTTGTAGCCAAGGGCTGCCTACTGCTGGTCTCGGAGAAGGTTCTAGAAAGGTCTAGAACAAATGGTCTAGAACACTCCTCAAGTTGCCCACCTGGGATGGCCGAGATCAGCACCTGCTGTCCCCCTCTGGTGTGTGCCTGTGTGTGGGCAGAGCTCCCCAAGGATGGGGATGTGGGGACACAGGGGCTCAAGTCTGAGCTTGCATGGAACTTCGCAGCCCAACTGCAGATGAAATCAAAGTGAGTCGAGGGGGCAGCCAGTGACAGCAGGCCTGGTATTCATCGGACATCTGCCCATTGCTTAGCCATGTGCAGGTGCCTCGGAGCAGGCTAACCCCAGGAGGATGACTAAGGGGTCCCCTCTCAGCCCTCACAGTCATCCCAATGAGTGCCAGGCCCCTGCACCCCTGTTTAAGCAGCTCCGCACATGGCATGTCCCAGGAGGATGTGAGTGATCTTGGGCAGTCACATGACTCAAGCTGGCCAATCAGACTGAACGGAGGAAGAATTTCATATCACCATTGCTGGGAATGGATTCTCTCTTTCCTCCTGGATGTGAACAAAGACGGAGATTGTCCCGTTGGCCCTGGAACTCATCTTGTGACCATAAGAAGCAGCAATGGAAGAGCAAACCTGCCTCAGCACCCCAAGGAGCTGCTCAGCGTGCACCCAAGATCCCAGAGGAAGAGGCAACTCTTCTACGTGAAATTAAAACAGAACTTAGGAGGTCAGCAGAGGGGACGAAGATGGAGAGGAAAACAGGGAGACAGGGGGCCGCACAGGATAAGCATGACGGCTGTGGTGGCGCCCGCCTGTGATCCCAGCAGCTCGGGAGGCTGAGGCAGGAGGATCTCAAGTTCAAAGCCAGCCTCAGCAACTTAGTGAGGTCCTAAGCAACCCTGTGACTCAGCCACCAAGTCCCCCAGCTGCTGAGTCACCTCCCTGCCATGGCCCAGACACTGGAGAGAAGAAACACTAGTCCCCCGGGTTCCCATCTGAGTCACTGACCCACAGAATCTGGGGATAATAAATGACTGTTTTATGCCACTGATTTTGGAGTGATTTATTTTGCAGCAATAAAAACCAGAACAGCTCCCAAATAAGCCACCCACACACGTCCTTACCTCAGGGTCTGCATTTGAGAGCATCCAACCTAAGGGACAATGATGTCGGGTACATGTCAGAGTTTCTCCGGCTTCCGGTTCTAGGCCTGTGAAGGTGAGTTGCCCAATTCATCCCAACAAAAGGATGACGTCCGAGTCACATTGGCTTGGGGACACACAGACCAACATAAAGGAAATGCTGACTGGGCAGGGCAGGTCAAGTCCTCTGCCCCCCCCCCATCCCCAGAAGATGGGGTTGCCTTGGCAACCACAGGGTCCTGAGAGTAGAGGGAAGGAGGAGCCCACAGGAGAACTAGGTTGCTGCTACTAGGCCTCCTCAGTTCTGTTCTGAGATCGTGGGTCATGCATTTCAGGAAGGGCAAACCCTTTTGAGCCCAAAGGTGAATACTGGTCAAGCTAAGGCAAACATGGTAATTTTACTCCCCTTGCCAGGGATTGGTTTGGACATGGACATATAATTCTTGATCCTGAAGGGGCAGGAAGGGGAACAACAAATGATAGTTTTATTCACTCTTAAAAAAGAGGCATAAAGGAATGTCCTAACTTCCATCTTTAAATGTTGTTATATAGTTATGTGATACTTGGAGCTACAGCAGCCACCTTGGGACCATGAGGGGTAAACCTAAGGAAAATAGCACCAAAAGATGAACAGAAGAACCTGGATTTTTGATGACACTTTTCAAATTTGGATACAGCCACCTCCAAGCTGTTGTTATGTGAGAAAACAATTTAAGCCATTGTGACTTGGGCCCTGGGTGTCTCAACATAACAGAATTTGATACCAGGATCAGGGCCTCACTGAGGAGGCCCCCAATGACAGAATTGGGTCAAATCTCCACTTTTCCACTCCAGCAACTATGATCCTGCCTTCTTTACCTCCTATACGGAGGAAGTAGTTTGGGAAGGGATAGCTTCTCGTTGAAATTTGCCAATTCTCCATAATCCTGGGGCTAAGAGGATCCGCTCTTTCTGAGACAGGGTGTGATTTAGTGCTCACAAGGATTATGTTTGGGAACTGCAGAAAGGGAAAGGTCAAGGTCAAAGTCGTGAGGACTTCAGGGTTCCAAAATTTGGTGAGAGACCCATAATGCACCAGCTGCCTTCTCTGCTCACACAGCTTTGAGGGATGGGCAGTGTCGCCTCATTGTACAGATGGGGTTGAAAGCCCCTGGCCCTTGAGCTTCACCCCACTCCCTGCACCTATGGTTTTCCCCTGCTGCCACGGTGGGTATTATGTCCACAGGAAGAAAGCCAAGCCATCCACGTCCCTGCTTGGAGCTGGGGGCTAGGTGGCCTCCCCTTTGCCCTCAGATCACTTCTCATTTCAGCTGATCTACTTTGGACGCGTGTTCCGAAGCCATGCCCACTTCCTAGGTGGCGTTTGGATGATGGGATGGGACACTGTGGAGCTCTGGGCAGCGCCAGCACCGTCCAGAATGGCTCCCTGGGGCAGTTACTGGTGCTGAACAGGGAGCCAGCGGTGGAGCGGAGAGCGGCCTCGAGGGCCAGGTAGACAGGATTTGAGCCCTGGTTCCGTCACTTATCTAGTTCTGTGACCCAGGGTAAACCGTGTAAACTTCTCTGTGCCTCAGTTTCCTCTTTTGCAAAATGGGAATGATCATCATCGTCCCTACCTTGCAGGGCTTGTGGTGATGGGGGGGGGGGCGTAAATAAATCAATCCACCCGCAAAGTGTCCCGAACTGCGCCTGCACGGTCAGTGCCACGTCCCTACCGTTCCTGGAGTCGCCACGGTCTCACCTCCGTGGCAGGCGTCCCCGAGGCTCCGACGCCGGGGGCGGACGCGCCCGCGGTTTTGCCGACTCATCCTGGCTCTGCAAGTCCGGCCGCCGCCCCCTCCCGCCCCGGCGGGCCTGAGTCACCCTCGCCGTGCGTCACACTTGCTCCTCCCGCCACGCGACCTGCAAACTCACCCTGAGTCAGCCCGCCCGGGCGCTTCCACTCCCGGGGCCGCGGCCAGCGCCGGCGGAGGGGCGCCCCCCAGCGGAGACCCGTGATCGCGCGGGTCGCGGGCGCCGGGGGAGCGGGGCGTGTGCGGGTGGAGACCGCGGGGACCGGCCGGACCACTGCGGGCCCGGGGGAGGCGCCTGCCTGCGGCCCCCGCCGGCGGCGCTGAGTGGTACGGCCCGGCCGGAGGTGAGGCCCGGGAGGCGGCGGGGCTAGCGGCGACCGCGCGATGGGGCTGCGCGCTGGCGGCAGGACCGGCGCCAGCCGGGGGGCGCCCGAGGGTCCCGGGTCGGGCGGCGGCGCGCAGGGCGGCAGCATCCACTCGGGCTGCATCGCTGCGGTGCACAACGTGCCGCTGAGCGTGCTCATCCGTCCACTGCCGTCGGTGCTGGACCCGGCCAAGGTGCAGAGCCTGGTGGACACGATCCGGGTGAGTCTCCGGGGAGGCGGTCCGCGAAGGGAGGGCTCGGGAGGAGGGAGGTCGCGCCGGACGCCAGGTGGGACTGGTTCCGGGCTCTCTGGGAGCCCAACGCTGGCTGTGTGACCTTGAGCATTTGGCCGGGCCACTCTGGGCACTCTGTTTCCTCGTTTGAGCAAGGAGGGGATTGAAATAGATGATTAAAATAATGATCGCTAACTTATAAAGATAGCGCCTGCCGTGACGCAGGAGCTGTTTTAAGCCCTTAGCTTCTTGTGCCAACCCTGCGAGGCAGATGCTGTCCCTAAAAACGGAGGTCCAGGCGGATTCCAGCAACTTATTCAAGGTCAGGCACTTGGAAAGTGGCGCAATGGGAATTCACACCCAGGCCGCCTGGCCCCAATACCCAGCTGGTGGCCACCACCCTATCCAAAGATAAGCCATGACTTCCCTTCCACCTGTGACAGCGGCAATGGAACTGGGTGTGTCATGTCCGCGGGAGGGCCCTGTCTGGAGGAGAAATGGGAGAGGACAAGGGTCAGCTTCATCCCAGAGACACAGTGCTCAGGAATGCGGGAGTGGAGCCCTGGCTGGGAGACAGGGCGACTGGGCTCCTGATTGGGAGGCGGAGCAGTTTAGCAAGATCCTGGCTCAAAAAAAAGTTAACAGTCTGGGGGTGTGGTCCGTGGGAGCCCAGACACCTAGCTGGTGCGAGGCCCTGGGCTCCATCCCCAGTCCTGCCAAAGGCAAAAGAGGGCTGGGGTGACCCTCCCTGCAGGAAGGGGGACACTCAGGAATATGTGTCACATAAGGCCCAGGTGGCTTCCTGTCCCCTTCTCCCAGACCCTTGGAAAGTGAGGGATGGAGGAGATGAGGGGTGGGGACACTTCTAAACCCCACCAAACACCTATGCAGCCAGCCCCGAGTCCTAGAATGTGCACTCTGTCCCCACTGCCTAGAGCCACGGCTGCGGATAGCCACAGCACCTGCTCCGCCGCTTGCCCTAGGTCTCTGTCCCCTTGACCATCTTGCAGATGGAGCCTTGGCCTCTTGCTCTCCCGTTATCCTGAGGTGTTGTGGATAGCACTCACGTCCACCAGAAATTGTGGGTTGTATTGTTCTGTCTCCGTTGTGAGAACTCCACAGGAGCAGGGACTCTGTGGTCCTGGCTGTGGCCTCAGCCCTGCCCCAGGACCTGGCTCTCAGTGGACGAGGTCCAGCCCTGCACACCCTCCCCACTGCTGGGCCTCTGTGGGGCCTCTCTCCCTGCGGGAAACTCTTGTGCATGGCCTCTGACTCTCCCTCAGGCCTCCTGCCTCAGGGTCAGCCTCTTTCCTGCCCTCCCTTGCTGCATTAGGGGTCCCCTGTGTCTGGAAGCCCCCTGTGACCCCGCCAGCATAGCTGTGGTCCCCCTGGTTGAGACGCCCATCTCTGGTGCTAAACGGTAGCCTGGGTGAGGCAAGGAGCAGCCTGCCAGCGCTAACTTTCCTCCTGGACTCATTTTCTACGGCCTCCGTAGCCCGCTGAGGTCCTGTTTTCCAGTCCTGTGGTTCACAAGGCCAGAGTGGGTTCCACTGGGCTGGAATAAGGTGTCAGTGGGGCTGTGTTCTGGAGGCTCCCGGGAGAGTCCGTTTTCTTGCTTTTCCAACGGTGACACTGTGAGGCTGTCCGCGCTCACTGGCTCTTGGCTATTTTTGTTGTTGTTTGTTTGGGGGTTGAGCCTGGAGGCGCTTTAGCATTGAGCTACATCTTTGTCCTTTTTGATTTTTTTTTTTTATTCGGAGACAGAGTCTCACTCAGTCACTTAGGGACTCGACTCGTGTAATTGCTGAGGCTGGCCTGGAACTTGCGATCCTCCTGCCTC